CTGCTGTAGGGGCTCCTGTGTCCTGCACGGGGCTCACGAGGCTGATTGTGCATCCATAGGACCAGCTTCAGCAGAAGATCATGTGCCCTGGGCCTGTCACCTGTCTGACCGCGTCACCCAACGGTCTCTACGTCCTGGCAGGAGTTGCAGAAAGCATCCACTTGTGGGAGGTAAGAGGCGCAAAGCGTGAGGGTTTCCCACAGGACATCTCAGCCCATCTGAGCCTTGCCTGCAGGGCACCAGGGAAAGACCATGCGGCCTGGGGCCCTGCGATGGGTGACTGCTCAGGGGTCACAGCCTAAGCTTCACCCTGCTGCCTCCTTTCTCCAGGTCCCCTTGAGACTCTTGCGAATCCCAAAGTGGCCCTAATCCTGCCTTGAGTGCTTAGATAGAGCCCGGTGCAGGCCAGTCCCCAGCACACACACACCGCAGCATCTTCCAGAGCTAGCGGGCATCTCTTCCAGGCAGGGGGCAGCACCTGGCACTTGTAACTTGACAGTTATAAAGGGCTGGGTGCAGTGCCTCATGCCAGTAATCACTGCAACCTCTGCCTCCCGGGTTCAAGCTATCGTCCTGCCTCAGCCTCCTGAGTAGCTGGGATTACAGGCGCCCACCACCACACCTGGCTAATTTGTTTGTATTTAGTAGAGACAGGGTTTCACAATGTTGGTCAGGCTGGTCTCGAACTCCTGACCTCGCGTGATCCACCCAGCTTGGCCTCCCAAAGTACTGGGATTATAGGTGTGAGCCACTGTGCCCAGCCGGTGCCTCCTTTTTCTTTCCGCTGGAGCAACTAGGTGTCAGCAACCCCTAGACACACTCACAGCCCGGATCCTGCCGTGCTCTCGCAGTGAGACAGAGCGAACTGTTCAGGCTTTGCATTTAGGTCAGCCTCTCAGCTCCGCCCTGGTTAGGGGAAGCAGCCCTGGATGATGTGTGAGTGAGTGGGTGGTGCCTGGAGACTTCATTCACAAAGCCAGGCCTGTTGGGATTTGGCCCATATCGTAGCTGCTGTGTTAGATCATTGGCTGTGTTGTTACACATGGTTCATTCTATTTGGGGGGAGACCTGCCCTCAAACCCACACAGAGCAGGGCAGACAGTACGAGATTTGGAGCCAGAAGACCCAAAGGTAACCATGTTTCTGCCCTTCTGACCTTGTCCTTGCCTCCCCCAGTGGGCTGCTCAGAGAACTGAGAGGGCTGGGTGGGCATGAGGATTCTCTGAGAGATACAAAGGCCACCAGGGGGATGGGCATGGTGGCTCATGCCTGGAATCCCAGCACTTTGGGAGGCTGAGATGGGCAGATCACTTGAGGCCAGGAGTTCAAGACCAGCCTGGGTAACATGGTGAAAACCCATATCTCCAAAATATACAAAAATTAGCTGGGCATGGTGCCATACACCTATAATCCCAGCTTTTTGGGAGGCTGAGGCATGAGAATCACATGAATCCGGGAGGCAAAGGCTACACTGAGCTGAGATCATACCACTGCACTCCAGCCTGGATGACAGAGCAAGACCTTGTCTCAAAAAAAAACGGGGCGGGGGGAGGTGGCGGGGAGCACAGGAATGACAGGAGGCATCATTATCTCACCCCCAGGACACGTGTATATGTATGTAATTTTTAAACTTATTTTTGAGATGGGGTCTCACTACATTGCCGTAGCTGGTCTTGAACTCCTGGACTCAAGCAATCCTCCCAGGTAGCTGGGATTATAGGCATGCGCCACCATGCCTGGCATCCCAAGGCTTTTAAATCTCAGTCCATGATTTTGAAACTGGGATGCTGTTGCTGAGAGAGAAACTGAGGCAGGGAGGCGGTAGCTCACAAGTCACCCCTCACGATAGACCTCCTGACCCTGGTGGCTGTCAGTCTGGGGCAGAAGGGTATGTGGGTAGGAATTAAATGTATCATCACCCCATGGAGGATGTCTTAGGCGGGACCCCTTCGTGTTCTTGGCTGGGGACGGTGTGCTGGGTGGCACCCACTACCAGACCCCTGCTCCCCTAGCCTCCTCCTTTTTTTTTTTTTTTTTTTGAGATGGAGTCTCGCTCTGTTGCTCGGGCTGGAGTGTGGTGGCTCGATCTCAGCTCACTGCAACCTCGGACTCC